TTCATTGTATCGCGTGGGCAGGATACTGCCAGGTTGCCCAAGCCTAGATAGGATAACGCTTAGGGTTCTCAACCATAGCCTTTGGTTCAAAACCTGACCGCAAGGCAGCGGGTTTGGCGTTGGGCTACAAGGAGCCCGTTTTAATGAATAAGGTGCCACTCTCATTCCAACCCCCAACCTGGAGGACCAGGAGGCTGAATTCGTCTGGCCTCTAACCATTGACCAATCTGGTATGAGTGCCTCTGAAGGTGCAAAAGCACCACCCAGCATAGCTCAATGGATCGCTGAGGCACACAAACCATCGCACCACGGTAAGGTCCAGCCTACAACCATGTGATTGGCTGGCAACCGCGGGTGAGTTGACTTCGTGAATGAGGGCCGTGCGTTGACGTGAACAAATGGCCACATATGGCAAACCAGGCAAGCGCAACGCATTCGCACTGCTTAAGGCTAGGATGCAACGAGAGTGGACCCCGTCGGAACGAGACTGGACCTTAACGTTGTGCGACGGTTTGCGTTCCTCATTGACCCATTGAACTATACTGGGTGATGCTTTCGGGCACCTTGAGAGCTACTCCTACCAGGTTGGTCAGTGGTGAGAGGTCAGACAAACTCAGTCTCCTGGTCCTCCAGGTTGGGGGTTTGAAATGGGATGGCGTCCATTTCTGTAAAACTAAATCACTGCCACCCCGCTGCCTTGCGGACAGGCTTTTGAGCCAAAGGCTTTGGATGAGTACCCTAATCGTCCTCCTGTATAGGTCTGGGCGCCCTGGAAGTATCTTAGCCCACATACAACCATGACATTTTCTTCAAACATAAACTTCATCCTGCATCGGCCGTCGCGCAGATTATCAAGGGTCGCCTTATCTGCAGCATACAGGGCGGATAAGCGAAAACATGCTACTGCTGGCGTCTCTCTTCTTTCTTTTCCACCTTTTTCTCTTACTCCCATCGCGGCCCCCATTACTAACCTTCCTTCTATAATTCCCAGCTTAATTGACGGCAACCGAAGTGCTATTGGAGTAGAATCATCTGCAGCCACCATCCCACAGCACCTATCGGACGCCCATCGGCGAAAGTCCCTTATAAGGCCACGCTGTCCTGTTTCTATTGCGACATTCAACGTCTGTACTCTAAGACAAACAGGTCAGCAGGCTGCACTCGCGCACTCTTTGGACACAATGGGTGTTGATGTGTGTTGTGTGTCCGAAACTAGGATTAATGACCCTAACGGGGTTATTAAATTGACTGCACCCGGCTTATCCTCTCGTTATTGGTTGCATGCATCCGGGGACGCCAATGCAACACTAACGGGTCAAGCTGGTGTAGGTATCATTCTAAGCTCCAAGGCTGAGTTATTGTTGGTTGATTGGATTCCGGTGAACAGCCGTTTATGTGCAGCGCGTTTGACGACATCAGCTAAGGTTGACTCACGAAGTAGTACAAAACGCTGTTTGTTTGTGATTTCCGCTTATGCTCCCATCGACTGCAGTTCTAATGCAGTCAAGAACACATTCTATGACGAACTGAACGCGCTACTACGCAGTGCTACTAGTTCAAATATTATAGTACTTACAGGGGATATGAACGCACAAGTAGGGCGTCTGAACTCTTCAGAAGCTCAGCTGAGTGGTAATTATGGGCTTAGCTCCGAACGGACTGACGACGGTGAGCGTCTGCTGCAACTGTGTGCGGAGCACCAGTTGTTTCTTAGTAGCACTGCTTTTAGATACAATGGGCACCGAAGTGCCACTTGGCGTCCTCCTGTAGCTGGCCAGCGATGAACCCAATTTGACCACATAGCCATAAGTTACAGGTGGCGTGGTTCCATCCTGGATTGCGGCTCGTACTAGAATATCTGCGTCGACTATGATCATGCCATGGTACGTTGTCGTTTCTCCATGAACTTTACCGGGAGGCGCACCAAGCGTCCCCTACAATTGGCAACAGAGAAATTGTCTCAGTCCTCGGTCAGTCAAGCCTATCAAGAAACACTGCATTCGGAACTTCCGATGTCCTAATGACACTGAATTTCAGTGGAATAGGATCTCGGTCTCCATGCACGACGCATGAGCATCTGCTTGTGGCACTGTCAATCGTCACCGCACCAGTCACTGGATATCCGAGAGGTCCGTGAACCTGTTGGAATCTAGAAGACTTCCCCCGACTGGCTCTGAACACAATGTGACCAGACGTGCTATTAGGCGAGAACTAAAGCAGAGCCTACGTGCTGACAAGGAAGCCTGGTGGACCAGTGGGGCTCAAGAAATGGAGGAGGCAGGAGCAGTAGGCAATTAGCAGAAGCTCTTCCAGCTAATCCGCACCACAGGTCCTAGGAAAGCAGGCGTCAGTGAGGCAATCAGCGACAGCGCGGGTGCGCTGATACACAATAAGGAGCGCCTTATGCCTCGTTGGGTGGAACACTTTCAAGATCCGTTCAGCTGACCCCCTGCTCCCGGACCTCTTCCTACTCAAGTGACGCAGGATGAGCTATGGCGGTTAGTTTAGAGCCTCCGTCGGAGGACGAGATCCGAAACGCGATCACAGCCCTCAATCGTTTTCGTGCCGCTGGCCCGGATTCCCTCCTACCTGCACTATTTAAGGATGGAGGTGAGGTCCTCTGCAAAACACTGATTTCCTTATTCAAATGTATCTGGAAGGAAGGGAGTCTGCCGGCTGAATGGAACGAATCGATTATAGTGGCAATTTACAGGAATGGCAATCGTACAGACTGTTCTAACCACAGGGATATTAGCCTAGTGCCAGTTTTGACAAAATTATTGGCCTCGATTATCGTTCGTCGCCTCACTGCGGAACGAGACTCTCGCACTAGGGAAGAGCAGGCCGGTTTCCGCCCAGGACGTGGCTGTATGAACCATAGCTTCACTTTGCGGCAGGTACTCGAGCAACACCACGCATACCGCAAACCGACAATAACTGTGTTCCTTGATTTCAAAGGTGCGTTCGATTCAGTCGATCGATGCGAAGTACTTGCGCGGAAAGGTGTTCCCACGAAATATGTGAACATCCTTCGTGCTCTATACTCGAACACTATAGGTCGCGTCAGGGTTTACAGTGTCCTATCGGATAGCTTTCCGACCACAATCGGCGTTCGTCAGGGTTGTCCGATTTCTCCATTTTTGTTCACTTTCGTCTTAGATTCTATCATGAAGTTGCTCCTTGCGGAATCTCACTATGTAGACGTTGAACTGCTGTCTAGTGAAAGGTTAGTTAATCTAGATTATGCGGACGATATCGTCTTGCTTTTCGACGATGTTTCTACTTCACAATCAACCCTGAATAGCCTGTCTAGAGTAGTCCCATTATTTGGTATGTGCTTTGCACTTTCAAAGTGCAAAGTGTTGCTGCAGGACCACCAGCTACTTGATGACCCTTGATCCTTGCTAACGAGGAACTCGAGGTGGTTGATCATTTTTACTTATCTTGGCAACTGCATCAGCAATGATGGGCGCATTGAAACTGACGTCAGCTCACGCATTGCAAAGGCCAGAGCTACCTTCATGAACCTGCGGCATCTTTGGCGACAGAAGGGAGCTTCCCTCCGTCTGAAAGGCCGGGTATACAAGGCCACAGTGAGGGCAGTTTTGCTCTATGGTAGTGAAACTTGGCCCCTTCGGTCTGAAGATCTGAGGCGCCTTCAAGTCTTTGGTCATCGTTGTCTGCGAAGCATTTCTGGGGTCGGATGGCTCCAGCTTGTCCGCAACGATGATGTGCGTAGGCGAGTACTAGGTGGTGATGATCATGCTAGCTCCCTAGAACAACAGATAGCATTGAATAAGTTGCGTTGACCGGTGCGCGTGCTACGTACGCCTGGTCACTGCTTACGTAGGAGGGCCTTGTTTAGTCTGCCAGGTGTAGGATGGCGCAAGGCTCGAGGTGGACAGAAGTTGACTTGACAACAAGAAATGAAGTCACTGACGACCAAACTGGGTGCTGTTGGTCCGTCTCGCCTTCCGGGCTGGAGTCCACTTGATTCGGCTTGTGCTTGGCTGGAGACTTTACAGGACATGGCTCGCAACTGACACCAGTGGTGCGTCTGCTGCCGTCTCCTAATCGGATTGTCTGTTTAAAGTGTGTTTGGTGCTGAGTTATCTGCGAGGTAATGGCTGATTTTGACGCGTGGCAGTGAAAGCCGCAAGGAAGCTGTCTCGCTGGTGCCGCCTTATCTTTGCACGATAGCCAGCTGTTTGTGACGGTATGTTGTTAACACAAGGTGTAGACGCCTTGACCCTGAATGTTTGCTTAGGGCATTAAGGTTTTCAGGTAAGTCCCTCTTCTCTCCTTCTTTTTATTCTTTATTTCTTGTGTCCTCATGGTTGTATGGCAGCGAAGCATCACTTCAAATGGCTGATGTACTGCTGTTGTTGATGATGATGAAGTCTAGGACGCCAAAGATGATCACGGTTTTTTGTATTGGAATGTACGGTTTACCAGTAGATGGAACCGTCTACCGAGCCTCAACCTTTGGTTTCACGATTAGATTTGTCGCCAGGCAGAGCGGACTGTAGACAGCAGTATTGCAATCCAATCCGTACAACAGGTGTCAGCGTTTGGATTTTAATCTTAGGCACCGGTTCGACCCCGCTTCTTTCCGGATAACTTCACAGTAAGCTTGCCCGCATGCAGCCGGTGCTGGTCGACAGTGGCGTTTGATGGGCGCTACCAGCTCCAGACTATTGCTGATACTTTTGCCCCTTCCCATTCTTGTTCTTTATCTATTCCAGACACTCAGGCACTTATCGCTCGCTTAGCTTGTTACCTGTCGCATGTCTTGTTCTCCGTTGGTCCTGCTCGCGCAACCCACGTCTTCGATTGGTTTAACTTTGCTTGCGTGCTCGCATCATGAGTTTGGTGCACCTGTTCCTAGATGCCAGTTTTATTGCCACGAACCCTTCTCAGCTCAGATAAGATACTTTTCTGATTGTTTCTACCTTTGTGTTTTTTATTATACTGCACGAAAATATACGTTCTCCTTTTAGATGCTCCGAAAACTGTCGAACTTGCTGCTGGCGACGAAAGGTGTATCACTCGCGTGTTGTCAATTTTGGCCGACCCTCAAAAACACAGCATTTTCCTTCGAATAAAATTAATAACCAGAAGTACAATATATGGAGTTTCTTTCCACTTGTAAGTGCTCAGGAACTACTTCATTGCTCACCTTTGAGTTTTGTCACTTCTTAACGTCGGTCGATGGCCAAAGGGATTGCTCATCCATGTTGTAGCCCGTACGTCACAGATTCGCGTCTGCGTAGTTGCGACCGACCTCCGGAGCACGTGCACGACGGGAAGTGGTCACGTGGCAGCGAAGCCTCGGTGCGACGCACCGGTATACTGCGATTGCATTTCTTCCTTTTCTTCTATCGCACTTTGAAATGCTTCCTTTCGGCCACTAATTGTCCTATTTCGACACACCTTGACATCAATGTGCATAATTTGTTTATGCATGTTGTATTTTACTCCACGTGGAATAATAATAGCCAATAGCGGATCATTTGGGGTAACTCTTAAGTCAAATTATTTTCCGCGCATCCGGAGTAGTATTAGACAGCCTTTCATGCTCTCCGCACTCGTCAGTAGTACTCATCCTCCGGCTCCGCCATGGACTGTACCCATGACTACTCTTTAAAGTACTGCGCCTCAACCTTTTGCGTACCCAATATGGCAGCATATCTGCTGAGTTGTATTTCACACCCTCAGTTAATATGTATTTATGATGGAGATTTCGTCATCTGAAAACTGCGGCCATGCTTTTAATCCTTGCTCATTGTTCTGTCAACTGACTTACCTATCCGTTATTCTCGATCCATTTTACCAATATAACAGTGCTTTAATTTGGTATTGGTGAGATTTAGACTAGGTGGTAGACCAGGCGGTGTTTGCATCCAGTGCTCTTAGACTGACATATGCTGTCTATAGTGAACGTTTACTTAAACTAGTGTCGCATCATATTGAGTTATGAGCTAGTGGAATAGTTACCTAATTGTTTAGTTGTCTGGATCTTTTCGCAAAAGTCAACGGTTTATCTCATCCTTTTCGTCCAATAACAACACAAATATAAGTCGATTTTTTAATTACCTTTTTACTAAGTTCCCCTGCCAACAATCAAACTTGTGCACTTGGTTTTTGTCGAAGAATTTCACTCAACATCGATTTCAACTCTTGTATCGATTTCTCATGGCGAGGAGAATTCGTTGCGATTCCCCAAACACGCGCGTGCTTTGAAAAGCTAACAGATCCTGTTTCCGAATTTCGTTAGTTTGACATATACTTTGGCGCTTTGAGCGTCGTTTGCGTCCTTTTTCTTGTTCTCTGTGTGGATTATTAATCTAAAAGTAATACTACGATATTTCATGAATTACCTGTACGTTTTGTGATATCATGAGCACACTTATTTCCTATTCCCCTTTTCCAGGTGCTGTTCGATCAATTCTCCGTGTTCTTGAACTTGATCTATCTCGTTCTCGCGTGCAGTCAGTTCATTCCAGATCTGCGCATTGGCCAGCTGTACACTTACTGGGGACCCTTGGGATTCGTGCTCTGTGTGACATTTATACGCGAAGCAATCGACGACATTCGGCGCTGGTTACGTGATCGAGAAGTTAATCAAGCTGGTTATGCTAAGTTCGTGCGTCACGGACAAGTGTGGATCACCAGTGCATCTATCAAAGTAAGCCACATCTTGACATCATGAAATATTTTTAACATTTCAAAAATTCCTAATTTGCACTTTATCACCACTCCCAATTGCTTTCCAAGCTTCGCCACTTTTCATCCCTTTCAGAGTTAAGTGCTCATTATTTTCAACTTGGGATTCAAAATCTCGTCGCAACAAGACTGGCCGTCGCAAAGAAACTGGACCTTATCTTCATGTGACGGTTTGCTCGCCTCAATGACCCATTGAGCTGTTTTACATGGTGGTTTCTGCGCCCTCGGCCATTCGTGCTAGATTGGTCGATGGTTAAGAGTTATGCAAACTCATTTTCCTGGCTCTCTGCATGTTTGGGGTTGGAGTGGGTTCTCCCCTAACTTTTTAACACGGACCTTCTGCAGCCTTGTGAAAATACCGCTGCCTTGCGGTCAGGTTTTCGGAAAGGTTTTTCGTCGAGAATCCTGGTCGTCCTTTCTGTGCCTAGACATCAACATTCTTGAAGACATTTGGCTTGCTAGACCTAGTGACTGTTTCGACCAGACAAGATGCCCAGTTGGACCCTGTATTCACAAATGAACGACAGTTGTTTGCCATACAAAAGCGGGCTCCTTTGAGCAGCTCAGGCCATTGTATTTTAAAACTGTGCCCAGTCATATACAGCAGGTCTAATTTCTTAACACTGGCCAGACGTCTTTACAAGGTTATCAAACGGCGAAATTGCTCTTTGGAAAATATCACGAGGCTCCAGACGATGTTTTCTTTGACTGCTTTTTCCGTCTTTAACGACGAGGACCTGTCACTCGAATGTGACCATCTTACGAACTACATCAAATATTGCTTTGACATATGTTTCCTTTTTGTAACGATCTATCTAAGAGCAGACAGCTTTTCATCACCACTATTAAAGAAACTTCGAAGGTTGAAAGAATGGGTCTTCAAGTGCAAGAATGCTACCCGTGTCAAAAGCCTAACTACATCATTTAAATACGAGATAAAACGGCTAAACCAATTACGGGTTGAAACAGATCTAGGCAACCGTAAGCTTCGCGGTTTATGGGGGATTCTAAGGCAGCTCTGTGTTAAATGCGTTTGCAGCCAGCGAGGTGAAGTGGATGTGGATAAACTGAATTCGGAGTTTAGTTCCGCCTCACTAAGTTCAACTTCCTCGCCCTCCTTCATTAGCTCAATTCCAGCCTCGCCTTTCGATCAAAGCAATGTCCACAAGGAACTCAAAAGATTAAAGGCAACCAAAGCTTGTGGTCCGGAAGCTCTCTCACCGGCAGCTTTGAGGGAGTGTGCTGATTCTCTCACACTACCTTTGACAGATTTCTTTAACAAACGCCTCACTACGTGTGTAATCCCGGCCAGTATGACTCCGGTACCAAAAACAGGATCTCAAAAGTATCGCCCAATTGCATATGCATCTGCGCTCCTGAAAGTTTTTTAAGACTGTTAATTCCGCGGATTTTTTTCAGCCGCTCTTGAAGACGATATCCACTATTTCGCGTATAGACCCCAGCGCTGCACATTGAATGCAGTGGCATATCTTGTTCATTCTTCATTAGATCAACAATGTAAATCCGTACGGCTTCCCTTCCTATATTATTCGAATGCCTTTGGAGGCCTGGATAGGTCAATATTACTAAACCTGCTATCTGAAATGGAGTTCACCCTGTTACGTGACTATTTTACCTATCGTACTCACTTCAGTAAGTTGAACGGCTAGAAATCCTCTGTCGTCTGTGCCGACTGTGGTGTTCTACAAGAAGCGATCCTATCAACTTTTCTATTTTCCTTATATGTTGAACACCTCCCAATACAAACCACGTTTATAATGTGTAAATATGCTGATGATGTTGCGCTGGGATATATGTCCCCAACTAACCAGGATTCCTCATCACTTCAACGTGGGTTGGAAGATCTGGTGGAATGGTCTTCATCTAAATCTCTAACGCTTAATGCTTCTAATTGCATTACTGTAATAATTTCTTTCCTACATGGCGATAATTTGTAGTCGTTCATAAATTTCCCCTCGCACTTACTGTGAATGAAAATCCTGTACCCAGCTTTTCCACCGTCAAGTATTTTAGCGTCTATTTGTCCCAGAACATTTCTTCGTCCACACATGTCTGTCCAACTTTCCAAAAAGTCATAAAACCTTGTTTTTATACTCTCAGACTTAAAGTCCTTTCAGTACCTCGGACTTTAATATTCAGATTTGTGACCTCGTATTATTCCTTATTTCTTCTGTCGTTTTCCCTGGACTGCTTCAGAAAGACATCAACTTATTGGCGCGATGCATAAAACACATTTCTAGATGTAGCGGCGTGTCTAGAGATACCTTAGTTGCTTTGATCATTTCTAGACATCGATGCCTGCAATGATTTTTCTTCTAAGATACTAACTGATAGATTTCATCCACTTCACAATGATCTTTCCAAAACGTTTTCTTTCTCTCCTAATCGTTCGCAATTAAGAATTTTATTCTCCCGCATGTCATCGTATCGTAATACTGGTTTGCCTTATCTCTCACGTTTGCTCGTTAACACAGTAATAATCATTAACATGCTGCGAGAGCGATTGTTGGAGTAACAGTTCTGCTTATTTTCCACTTTTATACCCAAGCATGTTGATTAATATTATTATCTAGGTTTCCGCATTGGTTGTGTCAATGCTGAAAATGGACCCATTATGGATTCACAAAGCTTATTTTGATTTGATTCGACATCAGCCATTTGAACTGATGTTTCGCTGCCGCACAATCACCGTGACCTACGGAACGAAAGTTCAGGCTTAAAGCTAACGATTTGGTCTTGTAATCTGACTTCGCGTTTTCGAGGCGGCGTAGGGACAGGGCGCCCCTCACAGCATACTTAGCTCATGTGCCGCTGGTGATGGTTGCGTGGCGGCGAAGCGTCGGTACTGCGTGCCGGCGTTCTGCTGATGCCTTTTTCTTTTTACAAAATGAAATTTATTGGGGACCTAGCGTATAGTCCTAATGACTTTAACATGTATTCGGGGCTAACATGCCTGCAAACAATTATCTATCGAGTAGAGATAAGGCGGCATCTTCGAGACAGCTTCTTTACGGCTTTCACTGCCCGCGTCATAATCAGTCATTGCCCCACAAATAACTCAGCACTAAACACACTTTAAATATGCAGTCCGACTAGGAGACGACAGCGGACACGTCACTGGTGTCGACTGCGAGCCGTATCATGTAACCTCTCGAGGCAAGCACGAAGTGGGCCACGTGGACCAGTATGGAAGGCGAGACGGACCGACGGTATTCAATTTTGTGGTCAATGACTTCATTTCCTGCTGCTATGTTAAGTTTTGCCCATCTCGGGTCTTGCGCCGCCCTACATATGATATAGAACAACCCCCCCCCCTCGGTAGTGACATAAAAAATGTAGCACGGGCCAAAACCCCTCCGCAGCTTATTCTGTGCTATCTGTTTTACTAAGAAATTAACCTGAGAATCACCGCCTAACACTCGCCTACGCACATCATCGTTGCGGACATGCTGATATCACCCGATACCAACAGCGGTTCTCAAATAGCGATGACCGAAGACTTGATGGCGCCTCAAACCGAAGGATCTAAGTCTCACTCCTATTGGGTAGGACGTCCTTCATTGTGGCGTTGTAAACACAACCTTTCACACCGAGCGAAACCCTTTGCTTATGCTACAGGTGTCGCATATTCAGGGAGACAGTTCTAGTCTTTGCAATACGTGAACCGACTGTCACTCGTGAAAGCCATATTCGTGAAGAGCAAGCCGTGTTTCGTCGAGGACGGGGCGGCATCGACCACATATTCACCTTGCGCCAATTGTTGGAGTACTGCCATGTTTATTGGCGACCCACACTTGTCGTGTTTCTTGACATAAAAGGTGCCTTCGACTCAGTCGATCGATGTGCCCTTTGGGACTGTCTGCTGAGGAGAGGTGTGCCTGATAAATACGTAAACATTATCAAGGCGCTGTACGCGCATAGTTCGTGCAGGGTGAGGGTTATGGCAAACTGTCGCCACACTTCAGTGAGACAAGGTTGGCCGCTCTCACCTTTCCTTCGCAGTTGACGAAGTTATAGAATCAGCGTTTGCTGGACACGAAGTAGAATGTGTGGAGCTACTTCCTGGTGAGCGATTTCTTGACTTAGAGTATGCGGACGATGTTGTCCTACTCTGTGGCAGCTCTCAAACAGGTCAAGCAGCGATGGACCGCTTTGCATTGACTGTATCGTTTTGAGCTATGCTTTGCTCCATAGAAATGAAAAGTACTTCTTTAAGATTGGCAGGGACTCACCCCTTCTCTGACGCTTTGTGGTGATCATCTAGAAGTCGTTCAGGAATTCAAGTATCTGGACAGCTATATTAGCGCCCGTAGGATCCGAGATGGGGTTACCAACCGTATGTCGAAAGCATGAGGTGCTTTTGCCAATCTCCTGCACCTGTGGCGCAGACGCGACATTACTCTCTCCCTGAAGGGCAGAGTTTATAATGCAGCCGTCCGTTCAACCCTCCTGTACGATTGTGGAAACTGGCCCATCAGGTCGACAGACATAAAGAGGTTCATCACATTCGTCATCGCTGCGTTCGCAGCTTAGCTCATGTCTGGTGGGATCACCTCGTGAGCAATGAGCGTGTTCAGCGTCGCGTATTTGATGCAGGAAGAGCGAGTGAACCGCTTAACATCATTATATCACGCGCCAGGCTCCGATAGCTGGGCCACGTGTTGCCCATGCCAGAACACCGGCTCCCGTGACGTGCATTATTTGCGCGTTGTGGGTTCGATGGGAAGAGGAAGAGACCAAGCGTTGACTTGGTCGAAAAATAAAAACCTTACTTTAAGGTGGCGTCGGTTGGTGCATTCCGACTGCCTGGCTAGGGTCCTAAGGACGGTGAACACGTTTGGTTGGACGCACTTGCTGATATGGCTAGGAGCCGACCTCAATGGCGTTTGTGTTGTGAGTTCCTTTGTTCATCCCCTCCTGCTTAGTCTCCCCCTCGAATCA